ATTAAATTTCAATGTTTATTTTCAATATAGCTGACATTAACAAAGCTCTTCTTGCCAAGAGAAAAAGAATCGAAATGTATACCAAAGCTTCTTTCAAAGCCAGTAACCAGAAAATTGAGCAAATTTGGAAAACACAACAAGAAGAAATGTAAGGTTTTTCAAAGAGCTATATTGTTATCATTTCTTAGTATGTTCTGGTACAAACACCTACAGAAAATACCATCATCTGCTTATTTAGTGAAAATGCTTGGCTTTTTTTTTTCTAATCAAGTAGTCCTATAACCTCATGTCTTCATAGAATTGAAGTGTATTTGAAGTATCTTAGAAGTTAGGATTACTTTTTCTCTTTTAAATAACTGAGAGGTTATTAAACTCCACTGTGGATATGAAGATGTCATAGAAACTATTGTTTGATAACTATATGTGAAAAATTCAGTTTTATATTGTAATTAATTATACATTTTAACCAACTTGGCTATTCTTTTTACTAAATCTTTGCCATGCCAAAATTGGGGTGGGGAGCAACCCAAATGAAAGTATTTATCAGAATTATATTCAGTAGGAAAAATTCACTGAAGATTAAAAGTAAATTTTTCTGTAAAACAAAACTTCCTTGGTTTTCAAGAGCTAATGCATGTGAGAAGACATCTGTTCAGAAAAACATACTGAAATCAACATAAATTTTACTTTTTATTTTCCTTTCAAAATATTTAAACTATTGTTTTCTTTCTATAGCATAAAATAATGTGACTTGAATTTGCTTTGAATGGTATTTTCACATTGGTATAAAATTTGACAGGATTCATTGTTTTTTACAGACAGAAGCTTAACAGTGAATATTCTCAGCAATTTATGAGTGTGTTGCAGCAGTGGGAACTGGATATGCAAAAATTTGAGGAACAAGGAGAAAAACTAACTGTTAGTATTATAACTGACTTTATAATCTATTATAACTAAAACTTAAGTAGAAATAGGGACCCTAGTCATATGTCCACAGAACTAAGACAAGTATTATTAACCATTGTTGCCTACATGTTTTAATATTGCCAGATCATAAACCACAGAAGTATAGGCGCAATATTCCTAAAAGTGCGGGTCTTAATAGTTGATATACTTGTATTTTTAAGTAAAAGAAACTTGTCAATGGATAAAAGGAGAATTACTGGGTTTGGGGAGGTAAGTTAGCTTTAGACAATACAGTTGAATGGGGTAGGGAAGGGTTGCTTATTATAGTGTCAAATGGGCTCTGCTGCTAGGTTTCTATGAACTTTTAATGTACTAAGTTAATTCTCCCAGTTCTAGACTTTACTACAAATTTAGTGACTGCATAGACTGAGACAATCTTTCTGAGTATCATTGGCAGAAAATTCTTGTGGTGGAACATCATTAATCTAGTTTGGATCATTTGCTTATTCCTAACCAATCACCAGTTACTTGTCCTTCCTCCAGCCCTGGCCCCCCAGTCCCATGAGTGCTGGGGGACTGAATCTAGATACAACAAAAAAACATGCTATCATTGAGCTATAACCCCCATGCAAGAATATGATTTATGAATATCCAAATTATATTATTTCCTTTATCTCCAGTGGTGATGGAAGGCAATCTCACTCATTCTTTTTTGTTTTGGTTTTTTGAAACTGGGTCTCACTTTGTAGTCTTGGCTGGCCTTTAACTCACAGAGCTCCACCTGCCTCTGCCTCTCAAATACTGGAATTAAAAGGTGTGTACAACTATGACTAGTTGTTTCATTTTTTTTTAATTGCAACAGCATGTTTATATACTCACTCTAGAGGAACAAATTTATTTCTGGTATTGCAGATTGAACCTAGGCCCTCAAAACTGTTCTACCACTACTCTATATAGTCTCAGCCCTCTTTTTTACCTTTTATTTTGAGACAAGATCTCACCAAGTTACCCAGACTACTTTTGTTTCCTATAGCCTATGTAGGACTTTTGACTTGTGACCTCTTGCCTTAGCCTTGAAAGAAGCTAGGGATATAGGCCAGGTCTGGCTACAGAGAGAAATTTAATAGTAACAGAAGGGATAAATTGCTAAGTTCTTGAGAATGGAAAAGACATGAAGGTGGATTGAGTATAGTCATCCTTAGAAACAAGAGGAAATAGAGTATATAAGTACAAGTAGATAAGATGGTGATAAAAATCTATTTTCTTTGAATTCTGTTTTATTTAGTAAGGTCATCAGACAGTGAAAAGTAATAACCACCATGTTAGAATAATTAGAGTTGAATTTTACAAGATAGGGATTTAGCCAAGTAAATCTAAGAAGGTGACAAGGTATATATGCAAAGGAGTATTACACAATTTAATCTGGGAATTTCAGTAAAAGGAAGAATGCAGTTTTAGTCCTGAATGACAATTGAACTGTAGAACTAAGAAGAAGTTCTAGGCCAGAGTAGTAGGTAATCATGGTTGAATGTACAATATACTGGAAAAACCATATGTAAAATGATTAGAGCCTGGATTATAGAAAACTATTTGGAATCAAATTCTGCTTGAACAATAGTTAGCTGTGAAATAATTTACTGTTACATTTCAGTTTCCTCAGCTTTGAATGTAACTGATGAATACCTGTCAAATAGTTGTGGAGGATTGAGTTCGTGTGTGTGTGTGTGTGTGTGTGTGTGTGTGTGTGTGTGTGAGAGAGAGAGAGAGAGAGAGAGAGAGAGAGAGAGAGAGAGAGAGAGAATGTGTATACACACAAGGGACCCAAAATAGTTAATACACAGTTAATATATTTTGTCATTACAATACTATAGAAAGGTTATGCCATTTATAATGGCAAAATCTAGAATATAAGTGAATGGATTAAGGAGACTAGAAGACAGAGTCATTGGTGGAGAACAGATTAAGGAACTACAAGTTCAACATTCAGATGTCATCTGTGTAAGGCATTGAAGTTACTGAAAATAAGATAGTCTTAGGGCTAGGGCTAGGATAGTCTTAGTAGACTCTAGCATGAACAAAGCCTCATGTTTGATCCTCAGCACTTCATAAACCAGGTGTGGTTTTCATTTTCCACTCTGTTGATGACTTTACTCACTAAATAAAACATGCTTATAATCCCAGCATTTGAGAGAGAGAGGCAGAGGGACTCAGCAGTTCAAGACCATTTTTGACTATCTAGTAAATTTGAGGCCAGTTTAGATCCTGTCTCAAAACCTTGAATTCAATCTTTGATGGTGCTATATATAGCCTGTATTCCCAGCTACTTAGGAGGCTGAGGTAATGGAGTCACAAGTTCCAAGTCAGGCTATGCAACATAGTGAAACCTAGTCTCAAGGGAAAAAAAAAATATTTGGAGCTAGAGCCAAGGCTCAGAGGTAATGAGTTCTTATTACTGCTCTTGAAGACAACCAGGTTTCATTTTTTGCACTCAGACGGCAGCTCCAGTTTCAGGGGATCCAATAGTCATCCATACTCTGGCACACAAAATAGTGTTAGAAATATTTATACTCATCGGCTGATACGATTATTATAGTGCATATTAGTGGTAAAAAGTACTTAAACCTAGTCACAATAGTTGTTTGAGTACTAAAGATACTATAAACTGTGCCTTTAAGTTTAATATGTAATTATTTTTTGCTAAATTTAAAAATAAGGGTTGGGATAGAACCTAGAGCTAAGTGTCTGCCTAGCATGTATGAAGCCCACAATAGCAAAACACTTTGACCAAATCATTATCACAGGCTTTTTTTTTTATGTTTGCAGAATCTTTTTCGACAACAACAGAAGATTTTTCAGCAGTCTAGAATTGTTCAGAGCCAGAGACTGAAAGCAATCAAACAGCTACATGAGCAGTTCATAAAGGTGAGTTATACATGGTAATATGTTTTTGCGTTTGTTTGAGACAGGGCTTACTATATAGCCTGGAACTTGGCATGTACATTAGACTGGCTTCAAACTCAGAGGTTCTCTTGCCTTTCTTCCCAAGTGCTGGGATTAAAGGAGAGCACCACCAAGTTCTGCTATCCATATCCTTTTTATATTGTTACTATTATATTATTTTAGAATTCTTACCTTTGCAGTGATGTATTAATGTCTTTAATTTCTGCTATTACATTTGTTCATTCTCTGCTTGTACTATTTCACTTTCTCACTACCCTTTCTCCTATTAAAACTATTAACTCATTTCTCTTTCCTTCATTCCACACCTTGAGTCTGCATTATCATCTTTCTAAAACCTCCGTCTAGTTTCCCCTTCTGAATTTTTAGTTAGGATTCCACTTGGCATCATTCTTTTTAAGCTTCACAAACTATACATGTCCATCACTCCAAACTCTGTATGTAATTACTTTGTTTGAATCTGAAGACTTATGTATTTCCATGCTTGTTATACTATTCCTCTAGAATATTTGTTTCCTTTTAATTAATGGATTAATGTATATTTTGTCAATTAAGCAGGAATATTCATGCATTCCACTACATAGCTACAGGAGTTGCATTTCCATTCTTGTTATAAAGTAGGCAATAAGATAACTATTTGTTGAATGAGTTAAACTTTTTAGCTAGGTGTGTTATGACATATTCCTCTGATTCCAGTAGAAGGGAACCTGAGGCAGGATTAGTGAGTTTGAGGTGAGCCTTGACTATATAATGAGATCCTGTCTAATCTCCAGGACCCACAAGTTGTCCTCTACATGTGAGCCACACACACACATACTCTAAATGAATGGAAATGTAATGAACAAACTTTTATTAATTTAATAAGTTTGTAACTTGAGAAATGACTGACAGTGCTCTTAACCTCTGAGCCCCCTAATTAAAAGATTTTTACTTTGTAAGTTTAAAACCTGTGATTTAAAAGTTACAGTTTATAACCAAAGTTGCCTTTTTGTGTTTCAGAATTTGGAGGATGTGGAGAAAAATAATGATAATCTATTTACTGGCACACAAAGTGAACTTAAAAAAGAAATGGCTATGTTGCAAAAAAAAGTTATGATGGAAACTGTAAGTTCTATTTTAAATCATAAAGATAAGGATTAATGGAGGCACTGAAATGTTTTATTTGCTGAAATTTTTATAACATTTAACTAAAAATTAAACATGTTTCATATCTCCTTTCATGAAACAGCAGCAGCAAGAGATGGCAAATGTTCGAAAGTCTCTTCAATCCATGTTATTCTGATGAGTCTTTGAAGAAAGAACTTGAACCTATGTAATATATGATACAATTAAAACATTATCTATGAGGCATGCCTATAGAAATTACAGTTTAAACTATAACTTCCATAATCATTAGCTTGTTTAAGTGGAAGACTTCTGTTCCTGTTAACTTCTGTTCCTGTTAACTTTTAAATAAAACTTTTAGCAGCTATTTCAGTGTATCAAGCTTTCAACTCTTTTGTTACAATAGTGAATTGTTCTACTATTGTGTCAATAAAAAATGATTTAAATTTAAGTTTTCAGTGTATCTCTTAACAGTCCCAAGGTACAAAGTATGGATGGTGGTTTTGTTTCCAAGATAAGGTCTAACCCTCTTGCCCAGATTAGTCTCAAACTTTTGGGAGTTAAGTGATCCTTATACCCTAGCCTCCCAAGTATCAGGAGCAAGTGCATGCCACTACTACTGGCTTTAACCCTACTAAACCAATAGATCGCCAATTCTAAAATTAGAAGCTTTATACAATTTATTAAAAGAACTTAGTGGGTCTTGGAATAAATTCTAAATTCTAAATTCCAAAAGCATCAATATACCTGAAGATTTAAGTATTGGTTTTAATACACACATTTATGCAAGGTCAACAAAATACCATTTAATTTGGTCTGGTCGGTACTTAATTGACACATGCCCTTATTATCACAAACACAGCTAAAGTTATTTATGGTTTGAGTATTTCATATCTATCCTCATTCAGTAAATATACTGAAGCTTGATTTCACATTCAGTTTTCAAACTTGAACTGTTTTTAATTTTTAAAATAGGCATTTATATAGAGAAACTCAGTTTCATACATGTTGAATTGCTTCAACATTCCTTTGAAGTCAGTTAAACTTACTAGTTTTGAATGCCTTCAATGAATCATTCAGAACAACAAAACAACCATTTGAAGGAACTAATTTTGTTGTATAACCCACCCAGATAAGTCACCCTTCTACCATTTGCTTTGACATTAAAAGGACAATTCAATACTTTTTAATTCCTTTTGGGGGGAGGTGTTGGTGGTAGATCAAGCCAGGGCCTTACTCATGCTAAGCATTCACTCTTCCACTTGGCTATGTCTGCAACATGGGATGTAAACCTTAAGTATCATTCAAACTTTTAGGACCTTTCAGTTTACCCGGATTTAAGAGAGGAAAAATAAGTACTTCAGAGTGTTTTCTCTGTATTCACATATTTTTACCTTTTGAGAAATATTTACTTAAAAAAAAACTTTCTTGCTTGGAATACTTAAAGTACATGTTTGTCTGATTATTTCACCATATAGCATATAGCCTGTGGAACTTTTGTGAAATTAGAAATAAGGTCACATGGGCTGTAAGATAACACTGAAGAGTGTTAAGATAATTCTAGTTCTTATAAAGAGAATCTTAAGTATTTTCAACTGAAAATAGAAAAGTACCTAATGTACTTAGTGTTGAATAACTGACACTTGTTTTTTCCACCTTTTGCCATTTTTTTAAAATTACTAATTTCCTTTCCTGTCAATTATTTTAGCTACTTTTTGTCTTGCTTTGGAGACTTATGGTCCATTTTTTTCTTGGAAGTAAATTTTTTAGTAGGACTAAGGCACAAAGATTCACATTGTGCTGAATTGGTACAATAGATTAACCATTGTTTTAAGTTCTAGATAGCACACTAAAATGTATCTATAAAATAGCATATATCTTTTGAACAATAGCTATTATATAAAAATATTTCTCAGTGTACCACTTGACTCAATTATAGCATTATCATTATATACCTGTATTTGGAGCTCACTTTTCATCAACCAAATATCACTGCCAAGAAGGCTAGAAATTCTCTTTAAGTTCTGAACATTTGTGTAATCCTTTGGCAATCAATATTTCAAGTCTGATAGGTACTTTGTAGACACAGTGCCATTTAGAATCATTGGGGTTCAATTTCTTATTGTCCTTATTATTCAAATTTATTTTTTGTTCTTGTTTCTAATTCTTAACATTTTTATGATAAAATGTTAATGACAAGAGGGATTACTGACAGACATAATGGAAGCTACTAGATTTATGTTTTACATTTAAACATAACCTTATAGATAATATACTAGCCTCCTGCATAAGAGGATTTCCTTCACACATAGGTTCCCCTAACTGCTTCTCCTCTTTTCCTGGGGTTACTAGTCAGTCAATATGCTTGTGAACCTGTTCAGGTGCTTGTTGATATGAAGTCTTGAAGATATTTAGATGAAGGTGTCTTGAAATTTGCAGACACAAAGAACTAAAGTATGTCATCATATCAAATGAAGAAATGACCTTTGGAAGCAAAAAAAAAAAATAAAATGGTTATCGTTCATCTTTTCTAAAAATACAATTATTTTCCTATCTGCCCCAACTCCCACCTCAAATGTCCTTAAAATTGCTAACTGAAAATACTATATTTTAGAATACTTTTTATACTTAAATCTTATTATAGTCTTAATGTTCTTTTAAAAAAAAAAACAAAACAGGGTCTTGCTATGTAGTCCTGGTTGGCCTTTTAGTCATTATGTAGCCCAGGCTGGCCTTTAACTCATGACACCCCTCTTGCTTCAGCTTCCCAAGTGCTAGGATTATAAGCATGTGCCACAATGTCCAGGCATTCTGGGTATTTTATAGAAATTGAAACATAGAGGTAAAAAAAAAACTAATGTACAAGTGCTCAAAAGTAGAAAAACCTAAGTCTTCTGACTCTACTTTCTGCCATTCAATGAAGCCACAGATTTCCTAGTAGAAGGGGCTGTTCACATATTTTTGTTTCTTACACATTTAAGAACACAAAAGGCCTAGAAAAGAGACTAGTTGAGGGTACCATACACTGTATTCAAAACTAAAGAAAAAAAGGTTAGAGTCAAATACTTTACTTCAGAAAATAAAGCCCAGAAAAAGCTTTTAGGAATGGAATTCTCACCCACAAGAAAAGCTCCTTTTTATTTACTTGAAAATTCTGTCTGTTGTTATTTTGTAAAAAGAATGACAGTCTCACTCTCTATAGCTCTGAAAGCTTTCCCCATATTTTGTGTCTGAATTGTCGTTTACATAGTGTTTTTAAAGAAAAAAAATTAACATTCTCAGTTCACCAGATTGCTCTATCATTGGTGTAAATCAGGTCAATTACTATTACAAAGGTTGTTTTACAACCACAAATTTGATGTTTCTTAATTTGGGGCTTTTTTGAGCCATAAACATAGAGATAGCAAATTAAAAGGAAACTAATTATGAAAGACTTTTCAGAATATTGCTTAGAAACATTCAGTATTCATCAGAAAGTTTTAAAAAATGAGTATCACTACTGGAAATAATGGCAGACATAATGGACTATCAATAGTAGGCTATTAGTTACTCTAGTAAGTTTAATGCTGTGTAAACCTATTGGAGGGTTATTAAATGTATCCTAGTGCTTACACACAAAACAGATAAGTTGTTTTTAAATACCTAAGTCTAGCAAACAGGATGATTATGTAAATTAGTAAAACATCCATATATATTACTAGCAATTTGATAAAAAGCCAGTGAGGGCCATAGGTGAGAAAAATGCAGTTAAAACTATCTTAGCCACCATAAAGTTCAATACCAACCATAAAGATAGATCTTAATATTACAAAATGTTAATGGTTCATTTAATTTGGTAAGATTGAAGTGTTACCAGTAACAACTTTTCCTCAGAAATCTGGTATTTCTTATAAGAAATATATACATTCCTTTTAAACAAAATTTTGTTATTTTGTGCATATGGGTGTTTTGCCTGCATGTATATCTGTGCATCATAGGGGTGCAGCAATGCCATGAGTGGAGGCCAGAATGGGACTGGAATCACAGATGGTTTTAATCTACCATGTGGATGTTAGGGATTGAACTTGGGTCCTCTGTAAGAGTAACCAGTGCTATTAACTGCTGAACCATTGCTCCAGTCCTGTACATTCCTTTCTTAATCAGGATATCATCAACAAGAATTTAACCTCTGCTTGATGACCAAGTCATTAATATATTTTCACCAAGGGTTGTAGTCAAGGTTGCTTAGCTCAAACATAAGCTAGTCTTCAAATGTTACCCTGAGACAAGGAGTACTATCTGTTCTGTTTGTTTCTCCAACATTAAGTGACAGTTTGGGTGGAGTAAGTGCCAACACCAACCCCATCTACTTGGCTTGTTACCTGATACAAGCTGGGGATAACTTTAATAAACTTAAGTAAAGTTGGAAAGTCTTGAGCAAAGTGGAATTTTTTTTAAAATATCTGTTCTGATTTGGGGGAATAAAAAGAGTTATCTTTAGGTATACAGCTGCATTTCTATGATCTAGGTTGTTGAAAGCCTGACCCCTCAGATATGGCAATCATTCTACACATAAAATGATTCATGAATCAAAAGTAAATTAAATTTAAATATGCAGAGATACTATATAGACTATATATTTATGATCCCACTGAAATGGTTCTTACACTGTGAGCTGACATGTTAAAAAATAAAGGCTCAAAATTACTTACCATTGCTATCCATAGAACAACATATTCATCTATAAAATTATTAAAATATTGGTCTAAAAACAAAAGACCCGGACCAACAAACACAGTGTCTTGAAGATATAGTTCACTTTTTGTCATGTGAGCTATCTATAAAAAAGCAAATAAAATAATTTCACTATTAAGTTTTAAATGTTTTGCTGTAATTCTCAGAACATATTTATGGCATTAACTCACTATTAAGACAAGTCCATTTCACTTCATATTTGATAAAGAAATACTTAATGTATATCACAAGTTCATGAGTAGATAGCTTTTTAGTCCTAAAATTTAAGTTCCTTGATATCAGAGAGCTATAATTGACTATTATTCAGAAACAAGGGAATCGACTATACTATTAACTCATAGTTTTGCCTGGAACACAAAGAGCTATTTGTTATAAAGGAAAGCCAACATTTTATAGGATTTATAAGATTTATAAGAAAATGTGGAAGACTATAATATATATCATGAATCATAAAAGAATTTCTTACCACCAATTTTTGTGCAATTTTAGCAAAGACACATCCAAACATTAAGGTATAAAGGCAAGGGTGTCTTTCAAACACATTTGTTGCAGACTTTTTATAGATCATTATTGCCAATATAATAATTAATCCTATGTGGAGCCCAGGTGACAAAACACTGGTACCCTATGGAATAAAAGCAAAATACTTAATCACCACACTTTAACAATGCATATATTACATGGCAACATTTTCATTTTCTGTTTTAATTATGAGGATTCTAAACTACAAATTTTTTGAAACTTTGTACTTAATTTCTTCAGAACTGAAAATTAATTTGTCATCAAAAGATTAAAGTATAAAATATGCCTGATAGTAAATGTATAAGACCTGTAAATACAGAAAAAGGATATATAACAGCATACCATAATGTTTCATGAAAAATATTTGAAAAGCACCACTAAATTATCATAATGTACTTTCACATTCTTTACATCTCAACTAGGGTACTTAAATTTGATTTTTAGTAAAGACAAAACTTTTTTTTTTTTTTTTTTTGATTTTCGAGACAGGGTTTCTCTGTGGCTTTGGAGGCTATCCTGGAACTAGCTCTTGTAGACCAGGCTGGTCTCGAACTCACAGAGATCCGCCTGCCTCTGCCTCCCGAGTGCTGGGACTAAAGGCGTACACTCCCACCACCCAGCCAAAACATGATTTCTTTAAATATATTCTTTGTGAAGTGGAGGAAGCAGTCTGTTCTAGGGACAATGGCCCCACAAGGCCATGATAATGATAATGAGAGCTTAGAAGAAGATCAGGATAGTGATGGGTGAGACCCAAGGGATTAATAACTGAAGAAACGTATCAACTTTGAGAATTCTTTCTAGCGAATGTAAATGAGACAAGAAGTCCCAGAAAGGTTCATGATTATATTGCCCATGTATCTGTTCCAGCCCTGGTACAGGAAGTCTAAATTCAGCTCACCTGGAATAAAAACTGGACATAAAGCATCAACACTGAATGCTATCACCTTGCTGAAATCATGGTTAAGAACTCTTAAATTGTTCAAGCCCCAGCAGCTGGAAGTAACTCCAGACTGTATGTACCCATGTGGGGTCTAGTCAAACCCAGTCTTGGATACAAGGGCTGCCACTGTTGTATGCCAAACAGCTACTTGGAAGTTGTTGTAATACAATATCAAAGATCCACAAAGCTCTTTAAAACAACTTAGATATTTTATAATCTTTCAACTGCCATTTTTACACAAAGCTACTGATACTAACTTTTCACACAAAATACTTTTTTTTTCTCAAGTGTTCTTTGTGTAATAGTAACTTCTGGTCTGGTGGATTATTATAGGGACTAGGCATCTGTGACTATTTCTGGGTATGCAGAACCCAGCCCAACAAGGAGACACTGTAGCTGGAGGAAGCAAGGTCCTTCAGCCAACAAGATATGCCTAAGGAGAAGGAGAGGGCTTCATTCCAAAGAGGCCATTTCTGCAGAGTTATTCACTGACCAATGACCTTACTTCCTATGCCCTGGGGGAGGAGAGGATAGCCTCAGACTACTGATAGCAAGATTTATAGATTGGCCTTCTAGAAAGCTTAACAGTGTTATCCTCTCTCAGAGAGTTGGCAGGAGAAAGAATATTGCAAACTTTTTTTTTTTTTTTTGAGACAGGGTCTCATGTAGCCCAGATGAGCCTCAAATTCAATGAGCTAAGGATGACCTTGATTCTCCTGCTGTCACCTCTCAAGGGCTCGTATTATAAGCATGAGCCACCATGGTCCAGCTTTGAAGATCTGTTTCATGCAAAGAACTAGAGAACTAAAGAATATATGGATTAATTCAAACTTTCTCAAAACCCTTGGGTTATACAATGATAAGGCACAACAGATACTGATTCAAATATATCTCTATATGGCAATCAGATTTTCTATATCAACTTTTACTAAGTCAAAGGAGGCCATTAATACTTAAGACTGCCAATGAATTTTTGTAAAAATGTTAAAATAAAAATTAGCCTGTTAACTACAAAATACCAGAATAATTGATTAGGAAGAACTTAATTTAACCTTTGTTTCTTTGTACATCAAAACCTTCATATAAAATTATATATTCTAGGTCATTAAATTCCCTTCAGTGTGAACCAACACTTTTATCCTAAACAAAATGTTAAAATCCATTTAGTATTGATGCTTACTGAATCTATAACCACCAATGTGTTCATTAAAAAAGCTTAATTCTTTTAAGTGTACATGTTTTAAGCTATAATTGACTATGAATTATAGCCAGGACCACACAGAGAGTCCCTGCCTCCAATACATACATACATACATATTAAACCTTGTTCTAAATGATATTAGGTAATAGTACTTCATATGTTTTATATATTATGCTCTTATGTTTAATTCAATTAAAAAAAATCTGCTAAACCAGAAAACCTATGGAGTGTTTAGATATGCAACAATCCCAATGTTTGGGAGAGTCCAGGCATGGGTGAGTGAGGCCAGTTTGAGCTGTATATGTATGTATGTGTATGGTGTGTGTGTGTGTGTGTGTGTGTGTGTGTGTGTGTGTGTGTGTGTGTGTGTGTATAATTTTTTGTTTGTTTGTTTGATCCTAGTTTGTTTTCTAATTGAAAACCCATTTTCATGCTGGGCAGTGGTTGCACACACCTTTAATCCCAGCACTCGGGAGGCGGAGGCAGAGGCAGGCGGATCTCTGTGAGTTCTAGACCAGCCTGGTCTACGAGAGCTAGTTCCAGGACAGCCTCCAAAGCCACAGAGAAACTCTGTCTTGAAAAACAAACAAACAACAACAACCACAACAACAACAAAAAAAACATTTTCAGTTAGAAATTACTACCTAGCTTGAGTTTCACTTGATTCATCCTTCAAACATTTAATAATTATTTCTTGGTAAAATATTCTCTTACTAAATCTAATTTTCTTTATTGCAACGTTCCTGACAGTATTCTATTTTAGTACCCATGGTCAAGAAACACTTATTCCCAAGTACCTAAAGCACAGTGTAACACTAAGGTCAGGAGAGAAAACACCTCAAAAAAATGACAGTTTTTACAAGCAGATCAAAACAGGTACATCTAAATGAATTTTATAATTTGCTTTTGAATTATAAATGATAACATTTAAAATTTGAGGATCTATTAATTATAGGAGACTTTTGAAACTGTCTTGAGAGCCAATTTACAAGTGATTTGGGAAAATGAAAATACTTGTAACTAAAAATACTGTATCTCCTGTTTATTACTCTTGACAATTAAATCTTGTTCTAGCTGGGTGTGGTGATGTGAGGTCTATATGGCAACTTTCTGGGCTTCCAGGGTTACATGGAGAGACTCTGCCTTGAGAAAACAAACAAAAAAATTAAACCTTGTTTTAAATTAATATACCCTTTAAGGACAGAAATTTTGAGACATAAAATTTAGTTTAAAGTAATTCTTAAAAGTCATTCTAATAGTTTTCCTATAAAATGGCATTAAGTCCTACCTTCTTATGGTCAACTATCTTGAAGATATTATTAGACATTTTAAAAATATAGACATCACATTTATTTAAAAGTGTCAGAAATTCTGTTTTCCTTTTCCTTAAAAGTACTGACTTTTTAAAACAAATATAAATAAATCTATAAATTACAATAGTATAAGCAAAGTATAAAAACACAAAGACAGGCATATATACTCAGGAAATGAGGTTAAAATTTAATTCTAAATCATCAGAGTAGTTCTTATAAGTACTTAAGTAAATTTCAGTAAAATTTATAAGTAATATTCTTCCATTTGTGAAACCTTTGACCTTTGGCATCTTTCTTATCATTCAATCAAGATCCCATGGTCCATTCTCCTTGCTGCTGGTTTGATCCAGGCACAAATGAAAGCAGGTGAATGGCACTGACAATGCCTATGGTTATTGTGTACAATAATAAAACACTAAAAGAAAGAAAAATGCATTAAGTCTAAACTGTTTTTAAAATGCTATTGTGTTATGTGTCTAAAACAAATTCTTCAAGATAACTGGCTTCTTTCTCCATTCTTAAGTTTTAGGGTATTTGGATATCTTTTTATAATGACAATTTATTATATATTAATATTGAAAGATGATGAAAATAATGTCTTACTGCAATAGTAGATCCATTCTTGCCAACACCACCATGAAGGATCACATGGAAATAATTTGAACAGGAAAATATTGCTCCACCTACTACTCCAAGAACTGGAAAGATCTTCAGTTTTATTTCTAGAATAGGTATCTTTGGTGTAGAGGAAATAAACAAATCAATAAGAAAATTGAGTTTCTCTCCCTACTAAATAGAAACCTGACATGGTTGTGTACAATAGGCTATCCTTTTTCACAAAATCAGCCCTCAGCTTCAGCAATACAAACAGGAACTTTTCTAGGATTGCTTTAGTAACTATAAAATGAGTCCATCAAATCAGTTCAGTTTGTGTATAGGATCATAATTGAATAGTTAATTTTACAAGCCTTTATCTGACTTAAACACAAAAAAGGATAGTTCACTGGAATTCACAGCTTCTAAAAGGCAGCATCACAGAAAAGGCAGACACGGCAATCTGCACTCTACATGTGGTGAATACTGCATGTGTGCATGCAAAAAACTGTGCAGTTAAGATCCAGGATTAAACCTCCAGCAATATATATTTACCTGTGGTCAACTGTTGCTCAAGACAACTTCCAAAGGCAGCAAAGGATTTAAAAACAGTAACAATGAATTGCTAGATGCTATAGCTAGTATATTTTGAAAATAGACTTTGTGTGATGATACCAAAATTTATGGAAACTGTAGACTAACAACTAAATGTAGAAAACCGGAAAGTATCATAGTTTGTGAGAGTAACTTATGTTTTCTCCCTATGCTGTTGCCAAAAACCCTGAATGAAACAAATTAAGATTCAGTTGCAAACTGAAGACAAACACACCTGACTTAATAACTGGAATTGCCCAACTGCTTCTTGGTTCACATTTAGCATCCAAAGGATTCAGGTCAATAGCAGCATATCCTTGATTCAGGATTTGGAATGTTTTGGGGAAAGAATGATTACTTGAGAGTACACTCAGTCTGTGTCTGAGCTTACAGGTATGAAGTAACTGAGAATTTGAAATAGTTAAGTGCCACAAGCAAACTTGTCATTGTTTTTAAGTAAGGTTTGATTTTTTAAAGTAAGAGTGTGTGTGTGTGTGTGTGTGTGTGTGTGTGTGTGTGTGTGTGTGTGTGTGTGTGTGTGTGTGTGTGTTTAATGTATGCATGGCAGCAGAGGATATTTAGGGACAAATTTCAAATATATTTCACTAATTCTTCTAAAAATATTTGTTTTATGTGATAAATTTTGCCATGGAAAAGGTAATTTCAATGGATTTTTTTCTTTTGTATTAGGAAAACAGGGACAGTTTCTATGGAATAAAATATTCATTACAGAAGAAAATGTCATGTAAGTAGAGCATACAGAATATTAATATTATTAAATGAAAGAAAAAGCTTACACAAGAGAATTAGCTTTAACTCCAAGGATTTCTCAAGACAGGCAATAATCTAATATCTTCCTATGTACATAAAAAGCACTTAAATATAAATGTAAATATTTAGATTTACCGTATAGTCCCACATTGTTGCACCTCCAAATGTAGACAATATAAAGACGATCATTAAAGCTACCTGAATCTCAGTTACATCCACTCTACAGAAGAAGAACAAAGAGCAGGTAAGTCTTTGTAAATAAAGTCCTTGGACAGGAAGGTGAGTTATCACATATTCTACGGCACAGATGCAAATAAATCATATAGACCTGGTTGATTTTTAACTTTTATGCCCATCATTGAATTCTGTATCAGCTGACTGCCAGGTAGAAAAGAACATTTGTTCTCACATAGGTAAAGACCAGTATACATACAGAAAAATTACTGTATAGCATGTATCAGATTCCAAGAAATTACTTAAACTACAGAACAAGATACTTACTTTCTACTTGATGTATTTGTGCGGTTTGAATTTTCAAAAGAAGTGTTATTCTTAAAAATCACAAAACCCTCATAATAATACATAAATAATCATAAGGCTTAAGGAAAATTTTTATTGTGAGTGCAGGTGCATGTGGAGGTCATAGGCAACCTTAGGTGTTGGGCCTCACCTCGCATCTTGTTTGAAAGCAGTCTCTTTGTCATTGCTACTGCACATGCCAGGCTAGCTAGCCTTCACGTTTCTGGGGTTCTCCTGTCTTCATTTCCCATCTAGCCATGGAAGCACTGCCATTACAGACAATTGCTGCAGCACTTGGCTTTATGTGGGACCTGGGGATTTGAACTTGCCCTCATGCCTGTGCAACAAGTACTTTACCCACTGAGCCACTTCCCCAGTTTTAAGGCAAATTCTTCCTTCTCCTCTTCTTTCTCTTCCTTCTTTTTCTCCTCCTCCTTCTTTTCCTTCATTATCTTCCTTCTCCCTCTCCTCATCTTCCTCTTGGTGATCGGTATTCACTTTTTTAAAACATTTTTTAATCCAGGTGTGTGTGTGTGTGTGTGTGTGTGTGTGTGTGTGTGTGAGTGTGTGTGTGTGTGTGTGTGTGAGTGTGTGTGTGTGTGTGTGTGTGCGCGCGCGTGTGTGCGTGCGTGTGTGCGTGCGTGCGTGCGTGCGTGCGTGCATGTGTTCTAACTAGCCTGTATGTCCTAGGAATCAAACCCAGGTTATCAGGCTTGGCACCAAGCACCCTTTATCCACTGAGCCATCTTGTATGTCCTGTCTTTTGTAACTTATTTTATGTACATGGGTGTTTTACCTTCATGTACCCAATATGCACCATGTGTTTGCCTGGTGCCCATGAAGGCCAGCAGAGGGTGTCAGATCTCTTGGAACTAGAGTTACAAATGGTTCTGAATTGCCATGTGGGTGCTGGAAAACAAGCCTGAGTCCTCTAGAAGAGCTGCCAGTGCTCTTAATTTGCTTGCTAGCCCATCTTTTCAGCCTCATCTAAGGTAAATTCCTAAACATTTAAGTTAATTTCACTTATGAAGTAGAGAGAATTCTAACAACTTTGGTTTCTACAAACATATTTTTGCCTCATATATAGACATGTTTAAATTTCAGACAAAGGCACTAATCAAACAACATGAGTCCCTCTAGTGTATCCTCCAAACTGTAAAACCCACTCTGCTCTCACGAAGTTGTTCACAGACTGAAAACTCAGTCTACATATATAATCTCTCCCTCTCTTCAGATGTACTATTTAACTTACTGTAGTCTAGACTTTGACCCCATTATTCTACTGAAACTGTTTAAACAAATGGCTCCTTTTTTTCCAGTGTGGGGGACTAAATCCAGGTTCTTACACATGCTAAGAATCGAGCTACATCCCTAATTGACTTTCAATTACTCAAGGATTGAATTTTAGCAATTATCTTGTATAACCTGTTTACAATGTTTAAGATGAGAATCATTCTCTCCTTTTTGCACCACTTTGCTAGATTCTGATTCTGTGTTCGATTGTGACATTTCACTGGGTCTCTTCTCAGGCTCCTTTCTAGAATTCAGCTTCTCAACAGTGGTTGCAAACCATGGGATCACATAACTGAATATGGGTTGCTGAAAAGAATCAGCAATAGTATAAAGCTTCTCAAAGTTCTGCACAAATAATTCAAAATCAAAAGGGATGACTGGAGTACTTCTGTTGTGCTCACCCAGACTGCCTCACGTGACTTTACTGAAGCCGTGGTTCTGAACACCAACATGCACACATGGCACTGAACATGCCACAAGATGCTGACAGACACTGCTTGAATGCCTTGGTATAGACTCAAGACCCCTGTACATTGTAAGTTGCAGTACTTTTTATTGCACATAAGAAGTTTTCTGCTTTTAAAGAAACACAGTAGTTTAATTGTGGAAAAAGAGACAACAGTTTGTTCTAATCATTCCTCAGCATGTAAGAATCAAATCAATGACTGTGTTGTGTTGGAATGTATGCCTTTAAACATTTCTGTTTGTTGAGTTACTGACTTGAGTTTCTCAAAAGGGCATTAGATAAAGTTTGGCTTAGAATTATGAAAGAATTTTCAGTTGTCTTAGTCAATTTTCTATTGCTGTAAAGAGACACCATGTCATGGCAAGTCTTATAAAGGAAAACATGTAATTGGGGCTGCCTTACTACAGTTTCAGAGGTTTACTCCTTGATTGTCATAGCGAGAAGCGTGGTGGGTATGTAGGCAGACCCAGTGCTGGAGAGGGAGGTAGTTGAGAGTTCTACATCCAGAGTGGCAGAGAAACACTGGGCCTGACTTCAGGATTTGAAACCTCAAAGTCCACCCCACTGACATACTTCTACCAAAGAAGCCACTTCTTCTCCAGCAAGGTCACACCTCCTAATCCCTTCAAATAGTGCCAGTCCCTGGTGACCCAGCATTCAAATCTATAAGCCTGTGGGGGCCCTTCTTATTCAAACCACCACAATCTACTCCCTGACTCCCATAGGCTTGTAGCTATCACAATGCAAAAATGCATTCAGTTCAACTTCAAAAGTCCCCATAGTCTACAACAGTCTCAACAGTGTCCAAAGTCTCATGAGATTCATGACAATCTCTTAACTGTAATTCCCTGTAAAATTAAAATCAAAAAGCAGATCACATATTTCCAATATACAAAGGCACAGAATGTACATTACCATTCCACAAAGGAGGAAAGGTAACATAATACAGAAATACTGGACTAAAGCAAGACCTAAAACCAGCTGGGCAAACTCCAGACTCTGCATCACCATGTCTGATGTCAAAAGGCTCTCCAGATCTCTAACTCCTTTAAGCTCTGTTGCCTGAAACATACTTCTCTCTCTTGGGTGGTTCCACACGCTGTTAGCAGCTCTCCTTGGTAAGTATCTGACAAATCTGGCTTCCTCAACATCTTGTGTTTCCAATACAATCCAGGCTTCACCTTCACAGATTTCACAAAATGGCCTCTCTGAACCTCTATGCAGACACACCCCCACCACACATCTGGTCTTAGCAGCTTTTCTTCGTCATGGAGGGAAATTCTACAACCCCTTTCTAGAAATCCTTGACTCTAAAGCCAGAACCATGTGGCTGAAGCTGCCACGTCCTTCTGCTTGCTGTGGCTGGAGCATGGCCTATCATTCAATTACATCTTTATAAACTTTCTCTTTTCAATGGTTTCTTCACCGCCTAAGCTTAGCTGTCCTGAAACTGGATCTGTAGACCAGGCTGCCACTGAGCTCAGAGATCCACCTGTCTCTGCCTCCCCAGTGCTGGGATTAAGGTTTGTGCCACCATACGGAGCCCTACGAATTTCTTTAATTTCTTTTCACAAGTTGAAAACTTATCTGGGTGAGGTCTTGCTCCTAAGTCACCACTCCCTTTATTTCATTTAGCATCACTTTTCTTCAAATTTTCTAACTCTTTGAGCACTAGATTTATCTCTTTTGTACTTCCTGGTGAATCTTTTCTCCTCAAACTGTGCATTTTATATTCTTCCTTTCTCAGCTTGCTCCTGTTTGCTATAGATTTGCATAATATTGGTCACTAATAAGCAAGCAACACAGTCAATCCCAGGCTGTTTTGAAATCTCCTCTGCCATTGTCATTAATCCAAAACTCTTCAATTTAGCCTCAGGCAAACTTTTCAGACACAGGCAAAAAGAAGCCACATTCTTCACCAAAACCTAACAAGAATGATCTCTAGGCCACTTACTAATATTCTTCTCTGAACCTTGTTAGCCAGGCCATGATAATCTTACATTACTCTCAGCACCATGGTCTTCCTTGTTCCTACAAGTATAGCCCACTAAGCCCCGCTTAAAGCATTTAACTGCTTTTTAAAAATTATTTTTACTGCATGTGCATTGGTGCTTTGCCTTCATGAATACCTGTATGAGGGTGTCAGGTCCCCTAGAAATGAAGTTACAGACAGGTATGAGCCACCATATAGGTCCTGGGAATTGAACCCAGGTCCTTTGGAAGAACAGTCAGTGCTCTTAACCACTGAGCCATCTCTCCAGCCCACTCAACTGCTTTCTTAATAATCCAAAGTCCCAAAGTCCACATTCCATCAACAAACTGTATGTTCAGGCCTGTAACAGCAATCCCTTACTCCTGGTACCAACTTCTGTATTAGCTAATGTTCTATTACTGTGAAGAGACACATGACCTTGGCAAGTCTTACAAAGTAAAACATTTAATTTGGTTTGACTAACAGGTTCAGAAGTTTAGTCCATTGTCATAATGCTAGGACATGGCAGCATGCAGGTAGACATGGTATTGGACAGGTAGCTGTGAGTTTTATATCCAGATCAGGAGGCAACAGAGAGAGAGAGACAGAGACAGAGACAGAGACAGAGACCGAGAGGTCACACCTCCTAATCCCTTCAAACAGTGCCACTCCCTGGTTGGTGGCCAAGCATTCAAATCTGTGAGCATCTGGGGGCATTCTTATTCAAACACCACACCAGTCATTTGCATATGGCCCTAAACATACTTCTGGCATTTTGTATTATATATTTATGTGGAATGGCAAAAAAAAAAAAGATCAACTCTGAAAATGTTCTCTGTCCTCTAATATCAAATATTCAGTCAAGATGTATTGTTTAGGTATAAATAAATGAGCACATCTAACTCATTAAAATGCAAATCCACTTTTATCTTTATTGTTTTACTTCTTGTCTGGTGTCTTGTCTGCATGCATACGCGTCTGTGCACCACTTGCATGCCTGGTGCTTATGATCCCCTGGAACTGGAGTTACAAATAGCTACGAGTTGCCACATGGCAATCAAACCCAGGTCTGAGTCATCTCTCCAATTCCATTGCTTTTGTCTTTAATAAATTGTAAATGTTTATGTCCTTTTGAAATAAAATTCCTTATGATCTGTTGGCAGTTAATGCTGAGTACCCATTTTATAAACCTATATACCCAAAAAGCCGGGTGGTGGTGGCACACGCCTTTAACCCTAGCAATTGGGAGGCAGAGGCAGGCGGATCTCTGTGGTTTTCAAAGAGAGTTCCAGGACAGTCTCCAAACCTACAGAGAAATCCTGTCTCAAAAACAAAAAAAAAAACAAAACAAAACCAAAAACAAACGAAAAAAGCCTACATACCCATATTACATCTCAGGAATAAAGGGGTTACGAGTAGAAATAGCTTAAACAGTTGGTTATAGAGTCCATATCTTAAAACACTGGTTCCAGAATTTCATATGCAATTTTATATCCTTTGAAAAATTTTATCTCTACTTAAGACTGTCATCTTACGTTCTAAATCTATATCTCCAATCTACATCTTTTTCCTCTGAGTTCCAATTTTTTATACTTACCTACTTTACATCTCTGCTTAGATACCTGTGTCTCAGTGAATCTAATAAATGAAGGGATTCCGTTTAAAAAAAGATATGGAAGAAAACTTCTCAACTATGTTATTTGGGATGCAGTTAAAAGAATAAAAGGGACTTATGCTTAATATTCAAATAAAAGAAAACGACATCCAGCATTTGCAACATCAATGGCAAACAAACCCAAACTTCCAGGCAACCTGGAGAAATGGTTGCAAAGATTAAGTCACCAAGAAGAAGGAGAAATACTAACATTTGCTAAAGACCTAATACGTGTTACACAACCTATAAATTATTTGGCAGTGTTTTTATTTTGGCTTTTTTTTTTTATATCGGAACAGTTGACTATCCTAGAAAAATGACTTCGGAGTTGATACTCTTACCTTTAACACTTTTGACTCATTATCAGTGTTGCAATGACTCAGTAGCAATGATATATATGTGACCTATTTGTAACTGTCATGGGTTTTAACTAGTGACTGGAAGCAGATAGAAAATGGGTAGATACTATAGAAAGAACTTTCTTTAGATGAAAGTAAAGAGCATTATGAGAACTGAACTTTACCTCAGGGTTTTAATTAAAACCATGGTAACCCCAGGCATCGTCTTGTTTCTGTCCGCCAGCCCTGAGAAGCCCAGCACTGCCACCATGCCCAGCTTTTCCTGTGTGGGTTCTAAAGAATAAACTCAGGTCTTCATGTTTATATGGCAAGCACTTTACCAACTGAGACATGTCTCCAACACTATTATAATTCGGGAGACTAGAAAAACAACTGAGAAGATTATTCAAATTGATCAAATTATGAAGTTTATGGGAAAGGAATGAGTGAAATCAACAAGTCCTCAACAGACAGATCAGCATTTGTGTGTCACTCTTCTCTGGTGTCTAAGGAGGAGACTCCCAAGGCAGCAATGTACAGCTTTAGCATCTATAGGGTGATCTCATGTGAGCTCACCTGACTGCCTCAGCTGAGCCCTGGATCACTGTTGTTGGTGACTATTGTCAAAGGGTCATGATAATTTGACAAAAAAAAAAAAATTATTTTCATCTGTGTATGCCAGGCTCATCCTTTGATCCCAGCACTTAGTAGAGGCAACTGGATCTCCATAAGTGTGAGGCTAGCCTGGTCTACATAGTGAATTCCTGGTCAGTCAGGGTTACACATAAAACCCTATCTAAAGATTTTTTTTTTGTTTAAAATTCCTTAAATTCAACAACAACAACAAAAATCCTTCAATTCAACATATTATTTTATGAGCCAAATAGTGTTTAGGTACTATATATTGCTTGGGTACTTATTTTATTCTCTCCTGACCTTAACTAGTAAATCTGAGAAAGAAGGAAAAAAAGTCAAATAATGTAACTATAACATGCTGGATACCAGAACAGCTCTAGGCATAGCACTGGTGGACATTGCAATAAACTAAAGAGTCTTAATTACTGAACAGAGCTTGTTTTCCTTAAGATGGATAGATGCCATTAGAGACTATAAAAATAAATTTGGTTGCATTTTAAAATGTAGAATTTAAGAAAATGCTTACCTTCCAAATCTCAATACCCCTGAGACATAAGTTTGCCAGTGAGCGCAGTAAAACAAGAACATCCCAACAAAGGAGCAGAAGAACAACAGATCAGGATGTGTTCCCAAGCGAACAGCAACTGCAGCCCCAATGGCCATAAATACTGAAAAACAAAGTTTATGAACAGTCAGGAATAAAACCAAGCCAGGCAGTGGTGGTGCACACCTCTAATTTCAGCACTTGACAGGCAGAGGCAGGCAAATCTCTGTGAGTTCAAGGCTGCCTGGTCACTAGAGTGAGTTCCAGGTTAGTCAGGGCTATACAAAGAAACCCTGTCTTGAGAAACCACAATAAATAAAGAAAAACAAGTGTGGTGGTTTGAAAGAAAATGGCTCCCAAAGGGGGTGGCACTATTAGAGGGTGTGGCTTTATTGGAAAAAGTGTCACTATTGAGATGGGATTGAGGTCTCATATATGCTCAAGCCATGTCCAGTGTTTCAGACCATTTCCTGTAGCCTTTGGGATCAAGATGTAGCTTCTTTTCCATTTTTAGCTCCTTCTCCAGTACCATGTCTGCCTGTATGACACTGGACTAAACCTCTGAAATTGTAAGCTGGCTTTAATTTTTTTTTTAATAAGGAGTTGCCATGGTCACAGTGTCTCTTCACAACAATAGAAACCCTAACTAAGTCACCAAGTATTGAGTTATCCTGTTTAGAAATATAGTTTTAAGGGACATAAAATCCTGGAATTAAAATATAATAGTTAAAACAACAGATTCTATTACATTTTTTATGATGCAAAGTTGAGCTTTGTTTGTTTTTGTAGCTTTACATGTGGGGGACAGAGAACTGCTTAAGCAAAGGAGTAGCATGAACTAGTGAGATCCTGTGTCAAAACAAGAAATAAAAGGTGGATGGTTCAGGTATTATGCTGGCCTGCCCCTGTTACCTGGTGGAACAGGCAGTACCCTGGTCAGTCCAAGGTTCCATGGGAACTAAGTCTGCACGCAGGTGCAGAGGACCCCTTTAAAAGGACAGATCCCTGCCCATTTACTCTCTCTGCTTCCTCTCTGATTCCTCTCTACTCTCTCTCTCACCTATGCACTCTCTCTGCGGCGACCGGCCATGGAAGTCAGCCATTATCCCTGTTCCTTTCCTCTTCTTAGTCTCCCTACTCTGCTAGGCCTTATAATAAACTTATAGTCAACATGTCTCATGTCTCAGCATTTCTCTTTTCTTCTTTTTAAACAAAAGAACAACAAAAGGGACTGGGGGATGTAGATCGCTTCTCTAGCAGACAGGGGACCCGTTTCAACCCTCAGTGTCAAAACAACAGTAAAACACACCCAAGGGCAGGTGCTTACGTGAGGAAGTTGCATTTCTGGGCTCTTGGATAGTTCACTTTATAGGCAAACTTTTATGGAGGAGAGAATTATTTCTGACTAAGGAGGACAAAAATGAGGGAATTCCAGGAATGAGCTGGGATTTTCCCAGCCAAGGGTTCCTTACCTTTCATATCTTCCTATGGTGTTTTCAGGGTGTGTCATAGCATCAGATTAAGGACAGAAACAGGGAATTTTGCAAGACTACTGATATGGAGATAGAATGACACTGAAGCAAGGGCATTTAGGGGTCATCTTGGTCCTAGCTGGGTTTGGAGAGTAGCTCTGGGGTTGTATCAGCCACTATGAAGATACCATGCAATTGCTGTAGTGATATTTTGTTTGTAATCTAACAAAGCTTGCTTGAAGATGAGAGGGCAGAGCTAAGCCATTAGTTAGCCACACACCTAGTTAAGTGCTAAGCCACTAGTTAGCCACACACTTAGTTAAGATCTAAGCATCTAGTTAGCCATAGAGGACAGGCAGTGGTGGCCACACTGCCTTTAATCCCAGCACTCAGGAGACAGAGGCAGATGGATCTCTGTGAGTCAAGGCCACCCTGGGTTACATGACAGCAAGTCAGTCTAAAAGAGAAACAGCTCACCCCTTTGATCCCAGCACTTTAATCCTAGCACTAGAGAGGAATATAAGGCAGGAGCTCAGTGCAGTCTCAAAGCAGTCTGAGGATTTGTGGAGACAGGATCCCCCATTTTGGTCTGAGGTAGAGATAAGAGCTAGTGACAGGTCGCTTTGCTTCTCTGATCTTCAGCTTAAACCCCAATGTCTGTCTCTGGGTTTTATCATTCATGCTACAAATTGCCTCTATGCTCTTTGCCGATACAGATCACTTCGTTTGTCTTTTTAACTTAAGAGGTTGAAGAAGGACAAAAATCCATTCTCAGTAACCACTTCCAGCTGACACTGGGCTGTCTCCCCTGTATACTAAGAGAAAGGAGGATTTTAGCCATCTGACCCAGGGGCATTGGAGGCTCTGTATGTAGGGGTGAGCTGGAAACCTCACAAGATCATCTTAGCACAAAATGAACTTTTGAACATCCTTTTAAAACACACTAGGCAAAACTGCTCCCAAATATAAACTCCAGTAAATCTCAAATAGCTCAGATCACTGAGGTTTTAATGTTGTCATTGAAAAGCAAATCACAGAAAGAAAAAGAAAACTCCACTAATTTACCTGTGGAAAGAGAGTCACAGCCATGATCAAACAGTTCCCCTAAAGGAGAACAAGAGTTTGTCCTTCTGGCTTGCTTCCCATCGATGGCATCCAGTGACTGGTAGATAAAGAGTCCCAGGGCACATAAAAAGTATGTCCAGTATGGTGCCTACAAAGGAGTACCAACGAGAATAAGTGACTTGATGAAAATGTTACGATAAGCAGCTGAGCACTTCAGACTGGGACCTGCATCCCTAGTGCACGGCTTTTCTTATAAACTGCATATGGCTGACATTTCTCAGGAAATCTTTGCTGTAAGACCTTTGAGATCAGAGATTGGATTTACTCTCCCACCCATAGCAAGCAACCTGAGATCTGTTGTGGAATAGTTCTTTAGGCAAAGATGTGTTACATTTCTTTACATTGTGGAATATCACTTTAATTATGTAATGGTGTGTTACATGTGTTTATGCTGCATTTGTTCAATATGTAAAGATGTATCGCTGTTTCATCTTACCTGCCTAAGATACCTAATTGGTCTAATAAAATAGCTGAACGGTCTATAGCTAGGCAGTAGAGGGACAGGCAGGGCTAGTGGGCAGAGAGAATAAGTAGTAGGAGAAATCTAGGCAAGAAAGAGGGAGGGAGGGAGAGAGAGAGAGAGAGGAAGGGAGGAAGGGAGGAAAAGAGGAAGGGAGGAAGGGAGGAAGGGAGGGAGGGAGGGAGACAGACACCTGGGGCTAGCCAGCGAGACAAGAAATAGGACATACATAATGAAAGAAAGATAAAAAGCCCCGAGGCAAAACCTAGATAAAGATAACAGGCTAATTTGTTATAAGAGGTAGTGGGACAAACATAAGCTAAGGATGAGCATTCATAACTAATAATAAGTCTCCATGTCATGATTCGGGAGCTGGTTGGTAGCCCAAAGAAAGCCTGATACAGAGATCCTTGAGAGAAGGAAACAAAGGGGCAAACCCCTTGGTTGCTCCAGCTGACTGTAGTTTGCAGGCCACAGCTCAGAAGGGGTCCTGATGGGAGCCCAGTATGTGTTGAAAAGTGCAGAGTTGGGGAAGGTCAAGGTGGCAAGTATGTACGCAGCAGAGTGACAGAGGAGGCAGCTGTACAGAGATGGGCAGGGGTTGTGAAAGGCTACTTTTGCATTGCTGGCTAAGAACTGACCTGTGCCTGAATGGGACAAGATTATTAACTAAGGCCAGGGAAAGAAGTCCCAGGAAATGAAGGTCAAACAATCCTCAGATCTCACAAAGAGCTGGGGAGAAGCCATGTTCCTGTCAGGCACAGCAGGAACACCCGACCTTGTGACATGTGGGAGACAGAACAGTTCTTAGACATGTACTATTCTGGAGCAATCAAAATTAGCCCTGGACCAGGGATTTCCCAGACATCTTTAACAAACTAAACAGACAGACTTACTGCAACTATCACAGAGTACATCTGAGGGGGAAGAGTCTAGCATCCCAAATACAAATCTACAAGGTTTTGCAGCCAATCAAAAATTACCAAGAAGCCGAAGAGGATGATGAAGAGGAGTAAAATCAATCAACCATTATATTCAAGGATGCTAGAAGTAACAGGAACAACAGACCAGAGCATTAAGATCGTTATTACAAACACACTCCATATGTTTAATAAGGTAGAGAAAAATTACAAAAGGAAAAATGGAAGAAAAGGCTCAAAGAGGAACCCACAGTGTAGCATCCACTCTGTAAAACACACTGGATGAAATTATTTTATATTAGATACTCAAGAAAAGGTCAGTGAGCGGGCAGATGACTAGATAGATGAGAACTATCCAGAGTGGTGCACAGGAAAGAAACAAAAAGTAACAGGCACAGATTTGCCTCTGGGACAACACAGAAGCACAGGATGTGTGTGTGTGTTTCAGAAAGAATAGACAGGAGAGTCAGAAAAATGACAGGAAACAAAATATTTCCAAATTTTATAAACCTACATAACTGAGAAGTCCAACGTAATAAATAGTTTTAAAACCAACCAAGGCATTAGACTGGGGGTGCATGCCTGTAATCCCAGCACTCAAGATGGCTAAGACAGGAGGGCCATGAGTTCAAGGTTCCCCGCAAGCTCTAGGCTTTTTATTTCTCTTCCAGAGGATTCCCAGCACCAACTGTGAGGTGGCTCACAACTACTAGTAACTCCAGCTCCAGGGGACTGGATACTTCTGGTATTCACAGACATGCAGACATATGCAGAATACACTCAGACAAACATACATGCACATGAATAGAAATAAAAAGAATTAAAATGTCAACTGACTATTTTATTTGAAGAAATGATAAGCTGAATGACTTATATTTTTGGTTGTGAGCCTAGCCTTTAATGGATGAGCTATCCCTCCAGCTCAAGCTGAATGACTTATACTTTCCCTTGATTAAATTCTATCTCCACTAACTAGAGGTATCTACAGAGTGTTGTTTTAACTTACTGCTCCCACCTGTGAAATCACAAAAAAACTGTCCCATGAAGAGAGTGTATTGTTAGAAAGTCACAAATACCCTCATTATGTATTTCTCAAATGTTTGTGTTTGAAATGCCAACAATCCTATGACCATGTGCTATTTAGGTTCTGGAAAAGCATCAAGACCAGACTGGTGAACTACAAGCACTCTGACCTCTTCTGTGTTTGAGGCAGATACTTTAAATCCTGTTCATGGTACTGACAAAGAGGAAGCATTAAAGTGAGAAAAGGCAAGAGCTTCAGACAGGTGAGATCACTTCCTGAAAGAATGGGCTCCTCTGTGGCACTTCCACCATGAAGAAAAGCAATTCCTAACTGCTCACAATTTGCCTTAAGGGCATACCACCTCACATCAGTACATAGTGAAGGTTATGAGAGACAGACAGACAAACAGACAGATACACACACACACACACACACACACACACACACACACAGAGGGAGGGAGCAGAGGGAGGAGAGAGAGAGAGGAAGAGAGAGGAGGGAAGAAAGGAGGGAGGTGGTCCACCTATTTAGTCTCTGGAGTGGTCAGCTGGCTAGGTGAGGAATGCTGACAGGCAGTAAGAGGGTACAGAGCCTCTCTCTGGGTTGGGGCATGGCTTGTTCTTTAAAAGCATAGTGCTGGAGAAACAAGACAGAAACAGTAACTGTGGGAAACAAAACGGATTTCCTAAGAATCAGGACCAGGAAGCCTTGGTTGCAGAGTAACTGGATGATTGCTACCATGATTAAGCATGGTACCAACTGGGCTGAGAGATGCCAGCAGTGGACGCTCAAACAGGAGGTTCCAGAAGCTTCCAGGCTACAAGATATGTCACAGACTAACTTATGGAGATAGAAGACTCCAGGACGTCAAGAAGGCAGCTTCTTGCCTAAGCAAACACCCTTATCATAAACCTAAATCTATATTACAAAACATTTATCTCAGTCCAAGTCATGTGGCGGGAAGTTAAACACCCAGAGATATGAGGGCCAGCATGTGTCAACTGCCTTTGTTAAAATTAAATGCTGAGCAGAGAGAAGACCTGGAGAAAGATCAGTAAATTAATTGTGGACATTTTAAGTATCTGAGGAACAGGAGGGGAGACAGGATTTAGATGCTGAACCATCTACACCTGCTCTGGACAAACCTTATTTGTGATTCAGATTTGCAAGCCCTGGGCTTTCTGGACAACAGTCTTTGCCATCCTCTAAATGAAAGTGCTAGATTAGGTCGCCTCCAAGACATGTTTCCACTCTAGATTTATATAACACAATCAAGAGTTGAGTTTCTGAGATCTGCTACACAAAATACAGGAACTAAATACCCAGATGGTGAAGACATAGCGATACTCAAGCACATCCCATCCAGGAACAGTTTGCAGTAATCGTTTCCAAGGAGAGAATGTACCCCAGGCTTTCTTCTGGATTCTATCTGCACCCAGATCTTTGCTGGTGAAGAGAGTTAGAAACATTACTTCTTGGTGATTCAGTCTCCAAACAAGGGGGGGGGGATTGGGGGAGGAGTGGAAAAGAAATAATCACTGTCTCGTGAGAATTAAGTGAATTGTATGTGAGGTGCTTATGCAAGTGGTTCCGCTGGTGTTACTGTCATCCTATTACTCTTGTAGATAACGTTAGGTGACTCATGGGTAATTTGTGTCAGAACGGTTATGAACTATTCCATGTATTTTGAAAGAAGTAGTTAATGCAGCACACCTAAGATCTTATTATGTTAAGGCTTAGAATGTCTCTATGCTTTTGAGTCTGATGGCTAAAGCTGATGTAGTGAAAAGCAGAATCTCCTTTCTAAATGAACATCTATTTTCACAAGTTGGGGGCTTTATGGATAAAGTTTGCCCTTGACTACCCTCCCTACTGTCCAAGGGGAGAATGTGAGTTCTCTTTAATGGCAGTAGTCCCTGTAATAACCACAGCTACTCTCTGCACCCATCTTGTCTGCCTTAAACTCCCATTCCTGTCACAGGCAAGCCAAGCACTTTCTAGCATCTTTCTTCTCTCTCACCACAGAGCTATCAGGGCCAGGACAGTAACAGTGTCACTGCCTGGGTATCATGCTGTCTTGAAATTTGCTACACCAAACAACCCAATCCACTTCTTTTCAATTTAGCTTCATTCTTAAGTTTTAGGTCACTGGCAGGACACAGTCAGATGTCTCTCTGAAACCCCCAGAGCCATGCTTCCCCCGTTTCTCTTGGTCTTACAAACCCCCACCAGATGGCCTGTTACAACTCCAAACTCTTCCACATTCCTCCCATAAACCAGTCCCAAAGGTCTGTGAATCACACAGCCAAGTTCATCACAGAAACAGCCACACTCCTTGGTACTGAATTTCTGTATTTGCTAATTTTCTTGGTGTATGACAAAGATTTGGGGAAGAAGGATTTGCTTTGGTTCACGGTTTAGGTGGTGCTATGATCCACTGTGGTGGGAAGACACAGCAGCCACTGTGTCCCACAGTCATGCATGTTGGTGTTCCCTTTGCTTTCTTTAGTGTCACCCATGACAGTGTTACCCACATTCACAAGTCTTCACTCCTCCGTTAACCCTAATGGAGAAATTCTCAGACAAACACTGGTGTGGTTCCAAACACAATCCTAAATCCTATTAACATGTTAGATTAACAATCATGCTAGCAATACCCCAAAAGTCTTCTGAAATAGAAGTTTAGGAAATACTAGAACTATATGTTTTTCCACTTTTTACTCAACTTTTATACTTAAAAAATATCTCCTTTTGATAGGCAGTGGTGGTGCACACCTTTAGTCCCAGCATCTAGGATGGAGAGACAAGCAGATCTCTGTGAGTTCAAGGCTAGCCTGGTCTAGAGTGAGTTCTAGGACAGCCAGGGCTACATAGAGAAACCCTGTCTTGAAAAACCAAATCAAAATAAAACAATAAAAACCGTTTGCTGTGTGTTAGAGAGATAGCTCCATCAGTAAACTGATGGTTGAATTAGCATATGGTTCAATCCTCTGTACCCGCGTAAAAAGAGAGGCATGGTGGCACATGTTTATAATCCCAGTTATAATATATGGGGAAGCAGAGATAGGCAAATCCCTGAGGATTGCTGGCCAGCCAGCTTAGGCTAATTGGTGAGCCCCAAGATCCAGAGAGAGATAAGATGGCGGCGGTGGGGGTTTGGAGGCTCCTGAGGAATAACACTGAAAGTTGACTTCTATCTCTAGACGTATGCACATGGACACACACACATACACATACACACACACACACACACACACACACACACACACACACACACACACACTCTTATTGGGAACCTGTGACAAGCAGGGCACTTCCTTGTTCTCAGAAGCAGGTTTCCTCAGGGGCAGGTGAATGGCCAGGGGAAAGAGAACATGAACATCTTTGGTGAAGCCAAATAGGATGGCCGCAGGCAGGCGCTCACTGGTTTCATCCTGGACTTGTGGCTTCAGTTCAGTTTACACACTGGCAGTGAGGATAGCACACTCATTTCTATGAAATATGGCAGCTATAAGCAGGGCAAAGGGACTCACACATCACTCACAAATGCACTCAGCCCAGCACTCCAGGACCAAATGGTTTTCATGAGGTCTGAGAAGTTGAAAGGTAGCCTTGCTTTTTCTCTTAGTTTTGGACAGTTCTAGATTATTTTCCCTTTGGCACTTAGTAGAGTTCTTGTTGAGATGCTAAGGGAAACTGAAGAAAGGAGAATGTGAAGTCAACTTCCACTCCAAATCTGTCATTAGGATCAAATGTATTAGATGCCTCAATAACCTGTTCTGGTCTTTAACTTACAATGAAAGGGGTCGGAGACTATGCCCCAGTCTAATGAAACAAGAGAGGATTTATAATTCTTCATATATGTCACAATTCAATGTTTTGTTTTGTTTGTTTTTTTGAGACAAGGTTTCTCTGTGTAATAGTCCTGGATGTCTCAGAACTCACTTTGTAGACCAGGCTGGCCTCGAACTCACTGGGATTCCCTGCCTCTGCCTCTGCCTCCTGAATGCTGGGATTAAAGGCATTTGCCACCACCACCCACAGTAATTTCATGTTTTATTGATATTTGACACAGACTTTTCCAGGCGAAGCAGTTTATTCCCTAGAAATTAACAAGAGTGCAGTCACCGAAGCCACGGGCACAACAAGGGAAGCTGTGTCCTGAAGAGCTTCTTCTAGGTACATCTGGAAGGAGGGTGAGGCAAGGAGGCAGCTGCAGGATTTATGAAAACATCTGCTCCCAGATGCCAGAAAGTGCCTTCTTAAATTCCGAGGCCACAGCATGCCTTCCCCCAGTCTCTTCCCTGCTTCTCAAACTTTCACCTTTTGACAAATGGGAGTTAATATTTTCTTTTAGTAAGAGAGGCCACACCATTATAAGACTCCTGCTTTAATAAATGATGATTAACAGAGTATTTAGGGTTAAAAAAAAGTGATTAAAATGAAATCAGATCTCAAAGAACTAAACTTACTTTTAAAAATCCGAGCGGAAATCTGTATGAAGCTTATTGCTTTTTATTTCATTCTCTATAGAACAAATCATTCTCTATAGAACAAAGGTAGTTATAAGCCCAGGTATAAACCACTTCTTATGGTTCTCTCAGGCTGAGTCACATTTTCACATCACAGGTAAGAGAAATGTGCTAGTCAATGCCTTCAATCTGGTCCTGGTCTGCTGTAAGTGTGCCCTTGAAGGAAACACTAACTGTAAATGTACAGGTGGGGAGAAAACGTCACAGCAAATACGTAAAGAGAATTATGCCACAGCTTATGTCAGCAAAAGAAAACAAAAACATGTAAGTATTATGTAGTAGAGAATGCTACTATAGCTGGGGCTCCCCACCCTCTTTGCCCTTTTGCAACTCTGTAAACCTTAGGCTAAAAAGAAGCCCCATCTAAGTTAACTGATATCTCTTTCTTTAGATTTCCAGAACCCAGATGGCTTTTATAGCACTCGTGTTAGTAACTACTCACAAGAGACGGTGCAAGTCCAATGCAATGCTCTGCAGAACACTCCCTGGCTAGCCAAGACTGCCTAAAGCCCAGCCTCACTGCTGCCTTCTGGAGCATGGAAATTCTCCAATGAGGAAAACGCAGGTTCAATGGGGTCAAAGAACCAGCTCTTCCAGCTCCTTCAGGGTGGGCTGTGCATAAACCCGATCCCTGTCTACCAATGCTCATTCTCCTGAATCCTGGTGTGTCAGTGGCCATCGATGATATTTGATTCTGGGAACTCTAGAAGGCTGAGCTAGACCTAGATCTAAATAACCAAGTATCAGACATAGACATTTGGAACTGTATTAGTAAGTAGGCTCCAGGCACTTTCTATGTTCTAAGAAGTGTTCTATTTTAGGAAAAGATAGCCAAGGATTGGGGCCCATGGATTATTTACTCAAGAGTGGTACATGCTTCATCAATGTGAGGGGAGGGGTTCTATCCATTTCTCCTTACATCTGCTTACTCTCAGACCAAACAACAGAAAGAGCCAAAACAGTGAGAGTTGAAGAACATCTCTCAAGATGACATTGTTGTTTCATTTACCAAACACTGTGACAAGACACTGCTAGGAACTGAAATCTGGCAGACTCTATAATAGGATACATTTAACAACACAAGGAAATGGAGACTTTCTACTGGGGTGCTGCAGAGGCCTACAGCAGCACAGCTGTCTAGTTTGGAATCCTAGTTCCCACGTAGAGCTTTATAATCCTAGGAGACAATTTCCCTTCACTTTTCAAAACTATATGAAGAGGGGATATTAACTGTATCTTCTTCATGAGACAGTGCTGATAGGATTCAATGACAGAACAGGACAAAAGCAGCTCAGAACAGTGCCTGATGTACAGCAAGCAGGCGGGCACATTTGCTACCACTCTCATCATTGTGGGAGTTCAGAGGACTAAACAGCTGATTTGACTTAGAAGGAAGAAACAAGTCCACAGGGTAGTGGCTGGGACTTGTCTGTTCACTCTTCTAAGTGCTCAGCAAATGTGTAAATAACATCAAAGTTTATGGCTTAGCCGACGGATGCCAGACACATCCAAAGACTGTCAGTCACATCTAAGCCCAATTCAAAGCTACACTTTACTATACACACTTCACAACACTGTTTACCAACAGTGTATTTTTAATGTGTTTCAGGATAGTTTTAATTTGTTGAGTGAAGTGCAGTGTCCTACATTTATCTGCATGTATCATCCGGTCCTCACTGCTGCCTTGTAAACTGGCCCAGCAGGCATTATTTCTATTTTCAACATGGGAAAACAGATCTGGTAGGTCTGCTTTGGCAGAGGCTGATGAGAAGCCAAGTCCTTCATTTGCAGGCCTGTTATCCTTTAGTCTTGATACAGTGCTTGGGGGGGGGGGGTTCTGGAAACAGCAAAATCCCAAACCCCAAATGGCTTAGTGTTTTCAAATTACATGGAAACAAATAACAATAGACTGTCTGCTGAAGAATACACAATGACCATAGCCATCAGCAGGGGAGACGTTTTAAACTGCAGATTCCACTAAGCCCTTTTAAAAAAGTGTTTGCACTAGATGCAGAGCATGAACTATTTCTGTTGAATTCCTGTTATTGTTATTGGACTCCAACTTCTACTCTCACTTTTGGGTACAATCTATGTTTACAAGTAATTATGAGGGAGATTAAAGAAAGTAATGTCACAAAATCTGCATGCAATATGTACCCTATATAGTGTACCAAGGCGCTTTTGCTGTGCTATTACTCCCTCTATACTCAGCCCAAGGAACCACTTTTTACCATAGTCCAAAGGCCACATTACTTATTATTTATACTTTAGACATAGTTGGCTTTTATAATCTCTAAGTCTGTAAGGACTGTCACCTATATCCTGTTTGTTTTTCATGAAAAAGTAATGAACCAAAAAGGAAGTTACCATCCAGAAATAACTTATCTTTGATCAGTTATGCTACCAGTAATTTCGGGATCACTAGGCACCACCTTTGACAAACAAGATTATGAAGGGTCCAAAGGGCATCCTGGGCTTACTCAACCCACCCACAGTTCCTGACAGAATGGAGATGCCGGTGTTTAATCCCCAGTGTGCTAAGTGCAGGTTGTCAGTCCCTATAGTCAACCTTCCAGTCAGCCCGTGGCCCCAGGGACAAAGTGGGTAGACACAGGGCTGGGGCAGTGACCTTGACAGCCCCCTCGAGGGAAGCTCAGCATGGTCACGGGACTGGGGTAGTGGCGTGACAGTCTCTAGGAGCCCGGAGGAGGCTGACAATGAACACCGCCATGGGTCAGTGGTCGGTTCGTGTCGGCACCTCCCTCCGAGACCCGGAGGGTGGATGCTCCGCCAACAAAGGTTCTCCCCTCATCCCTACGCCTATCGTGGGGCCGGCTGGGAAGGAGGCCCAAGGGTTCCGAGGGAACAACACCGGTGGGCGGTCAGCCCTACCTCCTCTGTGACCGTGGGGCAGTAGAAGATGAGCACTAGAGTGGTGACCAGGTTGATGGCGAGGCCGATGAGGGTGATGGTGTTGGGGGCCATCCAGAGCGGAATCCATTGGAGCAGCCAGGTCCAGTAAAGCTGCAGCGGCGGCTCGAA